TTGCACAGACTTGGCTCAGTGTGTAAAGATATTGAAATATCGATATATCGTATCATAAGATGTGAAGATACAGTATCGATATCGCTGCTGTATCAATAAAATTAAATTAAATTTAATTTAAAAATAATTCTGTTTTATTTTGAATTTTATATAATTTTATTTAGTTTTTAAAATTTTATTTAAATGAAATAAAATTAAATTAATAAGCACTTTTAAAATCAAGGTTTACAAAGTGTTGTACAAGCAGCAAAGAACAACACAAAAATCATAAAAACAGCACAGAAAGCACAAAAACAAACAATGATGCAAACGATCCAATAAATTATGATAAATAAATAAAAAGAAACAGAATAAAAAATAAATAAGGAATAAAATCAGGCTAAAACCAGTTAAAGGACGGGCTTAAGAAGTGATTTATGAGATGATGCTGATATATCGACAAGAATATTTTTTGGTTTATTTTACAAAATGATTTAGTTCCAGCTCCAGTTTTGTTGTTTGTTCAGAGGAAGGAAACTCATTTAAGCGACACATTTGACATTTTCACTGTTTTGACGATTAAAGTGTTTGTGTTTCATATGAACTTTGCACAAGAAGAAGTGATTTAACAAAGACTTTTACTGTCACAGATAAGATTTAGACTTTAGTTTTATTGAACTATATTGAATCAGTTTGAAATATTGAAAGCTCACTGTACCGAGGTTTGTTTCGAATCAGCAACTTTCACATTTCAATTAGGAAGTGAGCATGGGGGCGTTTACGGCTCCATCGACTCTGGCTCCACTTGATTTTACATTGAAAAATTGTGGCTCCTCCCTCTGCTGCTGTGAACCTCGTCACTTTGGTCTTTAAATGTTCTTAAAAACTCACTCTACATGATCCTGGTGTTTTTATTTTCCTGTTTTGTCCATAAATAAATTCCTAATCTGAAACTCGGCTGCAAATTTGCTCCTGTAACTCCAGCCTCGATGAGCTTCATTTGACTGGAGTCCACTTAGTCCACTTGTTTCTTGTTTTGTTTGTTGGTTTCTCCAGAAAAGCTGAAGTTTAACTGAAATAACTGAACACATTGATATCGTACAGTTATTTAAAGTCAGTGTTGAGTTTATGGATCAAACTGAAATGTTGGTTGAACTGGTAAATTCGTGGTTCAGTGGATCCGTCGCATCTTCATCCCGGGTTACGGTCGTAGCGCTCCACTCTCTCTGAGCTGAAGGCCGGCAGACTCTTGGACCTATGGACCCTCGGACCCTCGGACCTGTGTCCTGCTCTGCTTTCTCCAAATAGTCTTAATCCAAACGCTCGTCTTTCCCCGGAGCTTCACGTCACGGCCGCAGGGACGAGGATTAACCCAGGAACACGTCCTCGCTCTGGGCTGACGTCAGGCCCCATGTGGCCTCCTCAGATCCACCGAGTCATTCAGAGTCATTCAGAGTCATTCAGAGTCATTCAGAGTCATTCAGAGTCATTCAGAGTCATTCAGAGTTATTCAGAGTCATTCAGAGTTATTCAGAGTTATTCAGAGTTATTCAGAGTTATTCAGAGTTATTCAGAGTTCAGAGTCATTCAGAGTCATTCAGAGTGTGCACGTGTACAGGTGTGTGTACAGGCGTGTGTGTGTGTGTGTGTGTGTGGAGCTCGTTGGTGCCCGTGGGCTGGGAGGGAGGTGTTCTTTACACACTGCAAAAAAAATCTTGGCCAAAATGTAAGATCTAAACACTTAAAGGTTGTATGGAGGATTTTTTTTTAGTTTCAAATTGTCAATGAAAGTTTAAAATACCATTACAGAGACGCAGGCCTTGTAATTATGATGACCAAAAAAAATAAGGAACAAAAATCTATCAACTGTGGATGTGATGAGGCCAGATAAACATCAGCCAATAGAGAATGAGGCTCCCTCATTTTCTATTGGCTGTTAGGTTGTCAATCAAACTCCCTAGTGTAAGTGACTAGTGTAGCTTCCTCACATTTCGCATAAAGTTTGTTGGCGGACGAGAATCCACGACCAGTTCGCCGCAAATGAAAGTCGGTTTTTAAGGTCACTGAAAGAAGAAGAGAAGAAGGGGAAAAGGAGCAAAACCAAACTGAGGTGATTCTTGGAGATTCCTTCCAGCGATGGCGCGACTGAAGCAGACGAAGCGTCTAAAAACTGACACGTCGGTCGCTAAATTACTTCTAGACAGGAAACTTCAACTAATTCTGAAAGCGCACAAGGACTGTTGCTGTAGTTCTCTTCCCTTAAAACATCCTCTATACAACCTTTAAATTTATCAGAAAATGACTTAAAAGTGTGAAATAACGTGTCCATGCAGCGAGATCATTTTACTGGACGAGTTTTCTTAAAATAATCGACCTCTAGACTCGAATGAAGCGTCTGTGTTCAGTGTTCACGAGCTGGAAATAAGTTTATAGATGCAAGTTTGAGATAAATAAACTTAAAACCAGTTTATGATGAGTATGAATGAATGAACTTCACTCATGTCAGACTGATTTCAAGTATTTATATCTAGAATTTGACATCTGAGAACTTGTTAAGAAACCATGAACACTGATCATAAACTGGTGTTAAGTCTGTTTAAAAACACAGTGGAGCTCTTGTATCATCACATGGACTAAAATAGGACTAAATCAAGTCTAAACTAATACTAAACCAGGACTAAACTAGTTCTAAACTAGGACTAAATCAGAACTAAACCCGGACTACAAAAGGACTAAACCAGGTCTAAACTAGAATTAAACCAGGACTACAACAGGACTAAACCAGGACTAAATCAAGTCTAAAATAGTATTAAACCAGGTCTAAACCAGGACTAAACTAGGACTAAAACAGGACTAAATCAGGTCTAAACCAGGACTAAACCAGGTCTAAACTAGTTCTAAACTAGGACTAAATCAGAACTAAACCCGGACTACAAAAGGACTAAACCAGGTCTAAACTAGAATTAAACCAGGACTAAACCAGGACTAAACCAGGACTAAATCAGGTCTAAACCAGGACTAAACTAGGACTAAACTAGGACTAAACTAGGACTAAACTAGGACTAAACTAGGACTAAACCAGGACTAAACCAGGTCTAAACTAGTTCTAAACTAGGACTAAACCAGGACTTAACCAGGTCTAAACTAGTACTAAACCTGTTCCACCTTGTGATGTCATAAAGTGGTAGTTTTAAGTTCTCAGCTCCTTTTCTCTTTAGTTCAGTCGAGATCGGCAACTCCACGACTGAAATGATCCAGGTGATTCGAGTGAAGGTGTGTGGAGTTTAAAAACACAGTGGAGCACTTCCTGTATCACCACATGATGACATCACAAGGTGGAACAGAGCGTTTTATGTCTGAGAGAAAAACTCGGCCTCAATCTGCAGGGTTTAAAACGTGTGTGAATGAAACAAAACACAACTCCAGGTCTGTGTGACGAGGAAACTCCAGTAGAGCAGATCAGAGAGTAGATCTGTACATCTGGTCTGGGACTCGAGCCCAGAACCTTCTCGGTGTGAGGCTCCGGTGCTTCTCGTGTTCTGTGTGTGTGAAAGGTTTGGAGTCGGGTCAGTCCCTCCTCTGTTCTCTCTCCTGTTCAGGGTTTAACGTCGGGAATTAGAGCAGAAACTCCTGAGAAAAGCCCCAGGTCAGAGAGAGTGTGACCAGACTCCCACCTCTGCCCCCACGACCAGACTCCGACCAGACTCCCACCTCTGCCCCCACGACCAGACTCCGACCAGACTCCCACCTCTGCCCCCACGACCAGACTCCGACCAGACTCCCACCTCTGCCCCCACGACCAGACTCCCACCTCTGCCCCCACGACCAGACTCCCACCTCTGCCCCCACGACCAGACTCCCACCTCTGCCCCACGACCAGACTCCCACCTCTGCCCCACGACCAGACTCCCACTCTCTGCCCCACCAGACTCCAACCAGACTCCCACCTCTGCCCCTACGACCAGACTCCCACCTCTGCCCCTACGACCAGACTCCCACCTCTGCCCCTACGACCAGACTCCCACCTCTGCCCCACGACCAGACTCCCACCTCTGCCCCCACGACCAGACTCCCACCTCTGCCCCCCACGACCAGACTCCCACCTCTGCCCCACGACCAGACTCCCACCTCTGCCCCCACGACCAGACTCCCACCTCTGCCCCACACCAGACCCCCTCTGCCCCCACGACCAGACTCCACCTCTGCCCCCACGACCAGACTCCCACCTCTGCCCCCACGACCAGACTCCCACCTCTGCCCCCACGACCAGACTCCGACCAGACTCCCACCTCTGCCCCCACGACCAGACTCCGACCAGACTCCCACCTAAAACACACACTTTCAGTCCTTTTTTTTCTTGACTCTGATTGGCTCGTTTAAGTTCATTTGGATTTTGACCTGGTGTCTGGACTAAAGCTGCATTGATTTTATTTTAGAAGATCAGTCGACTAATCGATAACTGATCATTAAGAATTTTGTCGATTACGTTCATTTTTAATTGACAAACCGAATGTAGGTTTGAAGCTGCATCTGACACAAACCAGGACTAAACCAGGACTAAACCAGGACTAAACCAGGTCTAAACCAGGTCTAAATCACTTCCATTTTGTCATGAAGTAGTAGTTTTTGTGTGAACAGTTCATTTTTCATTCATTTTTTTTATTTTTATTTTTTTACTTTTTTTTAGTTTGAGCGATGTTTAGTTTAGAGTTTAGTTTAAGTTTAAAATTTAAAAAACTTATCCTGCCCCAACTATTTTACCTTAACACATGATTGATAAACACACACACACACACACACACACACATAAACACACACACACATAAACACACACACACACACACACACACACACATAAACACACACACATAAACACACACACACATAAACACACACACACACACACATATTGACAAACACACAATTATATTTTCGTTTGTGTTTTTTTTTTCGTACAAATTAATAATAAGTTTGGCAGCTCCAGGACTGAACTGACACAGAGAATCAGGAGAAAAGAAAAG